TGACATTTATCTGTGTGAACCTCCAAGGTCGACCTTAAAGCCACAAATTCAAGTTGTTCCCACATAGAAGAAAAAAATGAATTCAGCCGTGCGTGAGAACCTTTGCAACTAGACAGTTCACCCACACCGGCCTCCTGCAGAGAGAGTCTTTTTAGTGCCGTTAAGCCACAACACCTTCCCTGCGAATCTTGAAGGGACGACATTCTCTGCTATCAGGCTTCAGCCATCTGCTCTACAGTATGTAATAGCAGCGCGGCAGAATCCCTTATTCAAATAAGTCCGCTTAATGATGCTGCTTTTCACAAGTAAACACGTCTACTTAATGTTTCAGTGTCCTTTAACTAGGTGCCACGTGTACTAATTAAATCCTGCTCCTCTGAGGACTGCATGGGTGCTGATAGATTGAGGAAACAGATGGATAGAGGAGGAGAAATACACAGTCGCGAGGAGAGGCCCCACTACCCAAACACACGCACACACACACACACACACACACACACACATACACACATAAACAGTGCCCACCCCCACCTCACCTTTCAGATCTCAATCACAAAGATGGAAATGGTTGTGTGATTGTGTGTGCACGGACGCATGTTAGAGTGCACGCTGGTGCACAGCAATGGACTGATGGTGCTGCCTTTTCTCTGTGACAAAAGAGGCTGGAGGAGGAACAATGAAGAACGTAGGGAAGGATAATGATGTTGCCAGATTTAGTTCTAATACAAATATAAAACCAACAGAGGATTATTGTTGTCTATTAAATACATTAAAATAAACATATTAGATGCCTTCACAGAGAATGTATTAGGATCTCTTTCCTGCCTTGTGATTTCCACTTTATTGTAACTGTGGTTGTTCATTAACAGACTAACAAAATAAATATCAATCATACAACACAACATACTCTAGAAAGAATATGTCCTCTTTTCATCACTGTGATATCAGAGGCATCTCTCGGGTATAATCCGCTGAGAATAGCGCAGCTGTCTGCATTGACTAAACACTGTTGTCTGCCTCCACATCACTTCCTATCTCGTTATCAGGGGGTTCTTTTGAGGCAGTGTAGCAACAGTTGCGTGTCGCAAGCATTTTGCGAACACCATCTACCTCGCAGGCATGAATTCAATATGTTGATGTGTTGTGAAAGCTGGTGGCATTATTATTATTTAGACAGCGAGTAGGAGAGGTGGTCTTACCTTCAATTAAATATATTTATACTGCAGGGACCCACGTCCGTTCTGTGAAGGAGAGAAATAAACGGGATGTTTAGTCACAGAGAAAAAGTTTTAAAAGCTGCATAATTTATAGGGTCATGAGAGGTCAATTAGAAATTCTGCTAGAGACCATTGTTTTTGCAATGCATGTTGTCATCACAGCAACGGTACACAAGGAAACATTGCAACCTCAGACATATGGATGATCGACTGAGCTTTATCTAAATCTCTTTGTGAGACACTCTTTCCTCGTACAACATGGTGGGTGAGTTGGCTCTGCAGGGACCCAGGCTCTCTTCTCTCAGTCTATATATGAGAGGCTCTCACAGCCAGTTTGGCCGTGGACCAGTCAACTGTACTCATAAGTACAGCAGCCTGTACGACACACCTCAACAACAATACCCAGAAGGCATGAGAGCTCGAACATGCATGTTCCATTTGGCTCTGTGACCATTTCAAATGTACACGAAGAGTTGTGAAGCTCAGGGGCTGAGCTATAATCTGATTAGCCCCTGAAATGCCCTTGGTTTTTAAATACACTATTTAACCACTACTATCAATATTAACAATTTGTTGAGGATTTTTATTTTCTAAGATTTATTGATTTACACAATGTGCTTTTTCTAAATATAATATATGGCATGTGGCTTTGCTCAAAGATTTAGAGCTAACAGTGAACTAGGAATTATATTAAATGTGCATCTTAAGCCCATCTCCCACTCATCAAACCCCACTAACACCCACTAACATCTGGCTTTTGTCTGCAATGGGAACGGATACAATCGGCATTCGCTCCCGGGTGAAACCACACAGGTTTAAATTGGCTCTGGCTCCAATCGGCAGTGATGGAAACATGCTAATTCGACAACAAGGTGAGAGAGCGCCTCAGTTTTCAGTGTATTCTTGTAAAAATGGTATATAACAGATATATATATAGTATGGTATATTACAAAAGGGCCTTTGCTGAATCAGGAAGTGTGCGCGTATGTTAGTCTTATAATCGACCTCTCTGTGTAAATTGTGGCCCCCTTCATGGCCCCTGTATGAGAAAAATCCTAGTTAAGCCACTGGTGAAGGATAACAATGGTCAGTGGTTTAGGTGGAACAAAGAAATCTTGGTCTTCACATACTGGTATAATTCTCAGTTTTTCATATCAGTCACAGCAGAGTGACTCCTGAGGTGTGATGTACAGAGGAGTTCGACAAATGGACCTTGACCATGTTGCGGAAACAAAACAGGAGGTAAACACATCAAATCTAATTCAAGTCAGATCGTATTTGTGCAGCTCATATTCACACATCACAATTTACTTTAAACAATCTGTACAAGCTGCAACATCCTCTGCCCTCAACCCTAAGATGAGGAAAAACTTCCAAAAAACATTTTAACAGGGGGAAACACAGAAAGTGAGGAATCCCTCTCCCAGCAGCACAGACAGAAACAAACAGTGTTTAAAGCAAGAGAAAGGATAAGAGAAACAAAGGTTTACAGTTCTCCATCTTATTAATCTGTTAAAACACAGACCCATCATCTAAGATCTGATCATACTCACCATTCATTTCTGTTGCTCTCATCCAGCCAGTCACTGACGCCCCTCTCTCTCTCTTTCGATGGACCTCACAGTCTCCTTCTCTGAACCATGTCACCGTCTTCCTCTCCTGCGAAAATCCTGCACCCAGCGTGTGTGTGAGACCATTTAAAGCCCGGTACCGGGTTCCTGTGGAGCGTGAACTGGGTCCTGGGGCCAACCGGCACAACTGACGCACATCACATTCGCTTTCACAGGCAACTCTTCCGGCTGCTGGGAGGGGAACAATGGTGCAGCAGCAGCACACTGACAGCTCCACGGACAACGTGACTCGCTCCGTCCAATCGTGGAGTGAGGAGAGCGGCCACAGAGCTCCGCTGCTGCCGCCTGATCACTGGAGCCTCCGCGCAAACCCACTGTTCCGTCATGCGCCAGGACTGTGGCCAAGCAGGGAGGGATTCACACATGTCAGCGGGGATTGATGGCGATTCATAGGCAGCAATACATTTACAAAAAATAATAATTTGGCAACGTTTTTATTTCCAGAAATGAGGAGTCTTTGTCATTATTGTAAAGGAATATCTCATGAATGGATGAATATGCTGTTTGAGTCTGAAGGTTTAAACATCTCTTTGCCTTTGGATACACCTGAACAATGTGCTATAATAAATAAGGTATGACAATATTAAAAATGTTTTAGTTGAAACTGAGCTTTTTACCACCAGGGATGAATCTTGGGGTGGGGCCAGGGTGACACTGGGTCCATTTGAAATCTGATAGGCCCCTCAAGTGCCCCTGTCTTGTCAGTAGTCTTTTTTTAATATAAATTACACCATTTACACCAAAACCCTGTAACCCAATAAACCAGCTAATAAAGACGATTGACTCTGTTTTCACTGCCAGTAAAAGGAATTTTGTTTTTTGTTTCCCCCCCCAGTGTGCCGCTCTCTAGCCTCACTTTTTTGCTGGAGGAGCTTGTTCACCCGAGTGTCACGTTTTCAATCCAAGATAACGTACGGATGTGGGCTACTTCAGGCAACAATGCAGCACTTCTGACCTTCTTGTGGCCCAGATGGTAAAGGATGAATATGGTCCAAATAGCACAAAACAAATCTGGGCCTTCTTTGGCACCTTTGGTTGACATGCAGTACAGTGGCTTACTTGTGGCCCAGATCTGGCAAACAGGAGCGGCGCGCCCAAGTACCATGATTCCACACGATATCCGAGACGGATGAATGCTGATTGAATCCAGGCAGACAACAAGCAGATGTTAGCTGGTGTTTGAGGGTTTTTTGACAAGAGCAAATGGGGCTTTATTCACTTACTAACAATTCTAACAATATCATTTTTCCATAGCTTTTTTGTTTTAAATTGTGGCCCCCTTTATGGCCCCTGATTTAGAAAAATCCTAGATCTGCCACTGTTCACCATCGCTGCAGTATTTATATAAACCCCCTTTTAAATGCACTGTATCTCTGGAATAATTATATTTTTCAAACATGTCACAAATGTTAATGAAACAGATGAAGTTAAGAGGATCATATAAAAGAAACAGCTGTCTTGGCAAACACCCATAATGCCCCTACTATACATATCACATTGTATTAGTCCCTGCTGTGTAATGTAAGTTAAATCTGCCAAATGCTAATCAGAACAAAACATATTTGATAGGTCATAAAAGAAGCAACAGGAAAGCACTGTTTAATTTTCAGCTGGTTCAAAGGAGATTCAATATGACTCAGGGTGGAGCGTAAAAAAAGAATTGAAACAAACTGCCATCTTGTGGCCACAACGTCAAACTGTAGTGATTTTGGAGGCCCAGATGAAAAAATCCTTGTCATGTTCACCAGCTGCTCATGGAGTCAAAAGTGTGTGTGGGTACAGCATAGACTGTATATAAAGAGGGGTACAGTTGGTTCTGGGGATGCTAAATCAGGAGGGGAGGGAACTATGCTCTTGCTTCATGAGGATGAAAGTGAATGTAACATTTGGAAAATGTATTTTTGGGAATGGTCGTCCAAAACTTTGTTTAGTTAAAGAAAGTCTAACAACACAAATATCCTTTTCCTGTAATGCTGAGTGAATGCTTCATATTTCCATCCTTATGTGTCCCAGTATAAGTCATGGCAGTGTGTTATTGAGCCAGTATTGTGTATTTTCTCAGCAGAGTGTTTTGGTGAAGTGTAGACAGAGGGAGGATGTAGCGTATTAATTCATAATAATTACATCTGTCAGTGGAACAACAGCAGAATATAGACGCCCATTTTGGGGATTCTGTGATTCTCCATCACTAAGAAGAGATGAATATATTTCAAGTATTTTTACAGACATTTAAACGTGCATTGTTGACTGTAGGTGTTTGTCTTTTTCAAGGTATTTTGGTTTACCTAAATTATTTCCTGAACTCACACTCAACCTTCACTCTGCTTTGACCCATCCTCAGGTTTACAGGCTGCATAGGACATATTGAACTGTACCAGGGTTTACTGAAGTTGAAGACTTTTCTTATGTTAAAATGTTTTTTCATTTGTTTACAGCTCTGTAGGCAGAAATGCTAAGTGTTGAATTTTGACTTACATTATTTAATGGTGGTTATTTTTTGTTAAGATTAATTAATCTCTATTAATTTGTCTCAGGAAGATCTATTAGAATGAATACTCTGAGCCTGTACAGCAAGGTGTCAGATGATTTAAGCTAATGTGCAACATTCCTAAAACTAAGATCAGGGCTACAAGTAGACCAATTTGTCATTTGTCTTCTTTGCAAATCAATTGTACTATTTTTTTCGAAGTGTTTCTCATTATAAACAAAATTAACAAAGTTAATGAATAAGTCTTGCAAAACAAGAAGTCAACTCAACTAACAGACCTCCGGAAAATGTGAAAGAAGGCAAAATATAAACTGACCAAACCAAAAACAAACACAGGGGAGTGCCGCGCCCCCCCACCGTCCCCCCCATGGTGACAGAGCTCATGGTTTGGTCCTTTTCTTGGGCCTCTGAGTAAAATCAAGCTCCGCCCTCAGCTCAGGTGTTTTGCTGAAACAGGAAGGAGGAGTCCAGACAGGTAACCCAAACAAAGAGAAATTCATCAATACAATTCAAACCATCCGTTCAGTTGGAGATTCCCCGGAGTTTTTACTCGGGGAGTGGCCAAAGAAACTCTGCAGAAAGGCTGCCTCGGGACGTTTGCGTTCTCACATACAGCTCCTCCGAAGAATGTCCAGAAATTCTCTGGGGTTCATGTCTGAAAACAGCTTCTGAAGCTGCAGCACCCTCTTCTGGCAAAGCATCAAAATCCACTATATGTTGTAACTGGTAATCTGAAATCAGAGAGACATTGTTAGTAACTGTCCATCAGTTTAACAGGTTGTTTTTGTAACCTGGTCTTTTTCTTTCATATCTGACTTCCTGTCGTGGGGCTCGGCCTGACCCTGTTTACACCTGAGAGGAGGAAGAGCATAACAAAGAAGAGTCTTCCTCAGTGCTGTGTTCTCTCTCTTCCTCTGCACAGTCAGGCATCTGGCGCCCTCTGGCTTTGAGTTGATTCTCAGAAATGCTGATTTGAGGAAATTAGGTTTTTCTTGCAGTTGCTGCCGCCAAGAATATAAATATTTATATACAGACAGTTACAAAAAACATAAATACAAAATATAGGTAAGAGTATAAAATAAAATGTTTGTAAAAATATGAGTGTTATAATATATCAACAAGATGAATAATATGGAAAAGTTCACTGGCCTGAGTGAGCTGGATCGTAATGATATCATTGATTTCAGAGAGTGATTCCACCCATGCCATGTTAAAAGCTAAAGGGTGAAATTTGTAGCCAAGTTTTATGTAAAACATTTTAATTTCATAATTTTGTCTGTGGTCCTTAATGGGATTATTATTAAAAAAACATATGCAGATCAAACATAATGAATTCAACCACTACAACACAGAAGCTCATGAGGTGTTACACCTGGTTCTACCTCAAATATTTAGCAATGACTTAAATCGCAATAATACACAATGTTAGAATTATGTGGGAGTGTTGCTGAACCCTTATCTGTTACTTTCTCCTCTTTATTTTTTCATGTTCGCCATCTTCTCTTGTCAAACAAATTGCTCTAATTATCTGAAATAATTTAAGATGGCCTAGAAATGAAACTCGGCACAGAGGGGCCACATGCTTATTACAGAGCCACACAGAAAGAGCATAATTATTTCTGAAATATTAGGCGTTATTGCACTTCACGACACAAATAAGTAAACACTATCAGTAAATTGGATTGGGGGATTTGACAGGGCATTAAGTGGCTTCATTTCAGGGCCCAAACATATTTAATTCTTTCCTCCCAAATGCTGTTTAATACGGCATTACTCTGTCTTGGCATCATCATCACTACTAATGAAAATTTGGTGTTACCATGTAGCACGTTATATTAGCACCTATCAAATGGAAAAAAATAATGATGAAAAATGTGTTCATATACACTTCACATTATGTAAGAGTCATTAAAAGTGTCTTTCTCTGTATTTTTTTTGTGTCTTGTAGTTTGGGGGTTCACTGTGAAGTAAAGTGGTCTCCTGTCAGTAAAAAGCACCAGTGTAACCTGATGACTGATTGAATGGAGGACAGGCTACCCCTGACACTCAGCTCTGACCGCTCTGAATTATGCATCGCTCTCAGGTTAACAGAGTTCGGTATCCAGTGTCCCTTTTTCAACTCATCACAGCGATCAGATCTATCATGAATATTTCTCTCTTTACTTTTCTTCTCTTCATGCAGCATCGGCAAGAAACTCGTCGACCTATTCAGAGGAAAAAAGTGTGTTCAGAGTGTATATATTTCTATATTGTATATTACATGGGATTGATTGTGTGCATGCATCTTGGTGTATTTGTGTGTGAAAGGCCTCTACACATTACCAGGATTTCTGTGTCTCTCTTTAGGGAGCTCTCTGGAGCCTTTGTGAACAGCCTGTCAATTCAGTGCCCTCACAGAGCTGCTGATAGAGGCCCCCTCAGGCTGCAAAGGAAGTGAAACCCTGTCGAGTGTGGCGACCTGTGTCCCCCCTCCCCCCAGCAGTCCGAGTTCCCTGGTGATACAATTGCACCACGATGGAAATTCAATCAAGAGATGGACCAGAGTGAGAGGCGACCGCTCCCGTGTCCCTCTCTGGCTCGCCTGCTAATTGATTTTAAATAAAACTTTTAAACATGTCAGGATTAAAGAAACCTTGGTATTAGAAGGTGGGCTGCAGAGAGGATCATCAATTTTACTTTCAGCTGTGAGTACATTTATAATTCTATTTATGTCTATGTGTGTGTGTGTGATGTTGTGGAGCTGCTAATGGCATTGGCAAATTTTTATTCGAGGTGTGTAGTAATTACCACCAACCAACAGTCAAAGCTGTAAATGACAAATCATAACC